CTGAGCAAACTGGCCTGACTGAGCCGTCTCTTGTTCATGGAGGGTTGGGCCCAACCAAAACCACAGCAAAATCAAAATGGCTTGGTTGGAAGTCTTGACCATTTTGCTTTTTCCCAGCCCGGGAAAAAGCAAATTGAAAGTGTAGACCATTTTGCTTTTCGCCGGGCCGGGAAAAAGCAAATTGAAAGTCTGAGTCAAATTGGGAAAAAGCAGCTTGTATCAGGTTTACAAACTAAAATCAAGGAGCTGTGGCCTAATGGATAAGGCACCAGGATCAGAAGCAGAAGGTTCTGGGTTTGAATCTCCCCAGTTGCAAATTATTTCTCCGGAGTGCTTTAGTGGGAATCTGTTTTCCCAGCTAGCAAATTGGAAGTCGAGCCTTTTGCTTTTTGCTGGCCGGGAAAAAGCCAATGGAAGTCTGAACCATTTTGCTTTTTCCCGGGCGGGGAAAAGCAAAATGAGTCTGAGCTGTTTGCTTTTTCCCGGCCCGGGAAAAAGCAAATTGGAAGTCTGAACCGTTTTGCTTTTTCCCAGCCCGGGAAAAAGCAAATTGGAAGTCTGAGCCTTTTGCTTTTTCCAGGCCCGGGAAAAAGCAAATTGAAAGTCTGAACCATTTTGCTTTTTCCCGGCCCGCGAAAGAGCAAATTGGAAGCCTGAGCCTTTTGCTTTTCCAGGCCCGGGAAAAAGCAAATTGGATGTCTGAACCATTTTGCTTTTTCCCGGCCCGGGAAAAAGCAAATTGGAAGTCTGGCCCTTTGCTTTTTCAAATTTGAAGTCTGGACCATTTTGCTTTTTGCTGGCCCGGGAAAAAGCAAATTAAAAGTCTGGACCATTTTGCTTTTTCCCGGCCCGGGAAAAAGGAAATTGGAAGTCTGAACCATTTTGCTTTTTCCCGGCCCGGGAAAAAGCAAATTGGAACTCTGAGCCTTTTGCTTTTTCCCGGCCCGGTAAAAAGCAAATTGGAAGTCTGAACCATTTTGCTTTTTTCCCGGCCCGGAAAAAAATTGGAAGCCTGAACCATTTTGCTTTTTCCCGGCCCGGGAAAAAGCAAATTGGAAGTCTGAGCCTTTTGCTTTTTCCCGGCCCGGGAAAAAGAAAAATAGGAAGTCTGAGCCTTTTGCTTTTTCCAGGCCCGGGAAAAAGCAAATTGGAAGTCTGGACCATTTTGCTTTTTGCCGGCCCGGGAAAAAGCAAATTGGAAGTCTGCCCGAGAAAAAGCAAATTGGAAGTCTGAACCATTTTGCTTTTTCCCGGCCTGGGAAAAAGCAAATTGGAAGTCTGAGCCTTTTGCTTTTTCCCGGGCCCAGGAAAAAGCAAATTGGAAGTCTGATACATGTCCAATTGCTTTTTCCCGACCCTTGGAAAGTTCTTTGTCGTGGGAAACTGCGCAAGTATGGCGAAAGGTTCGCATTGTGGACGCGAAAGACGACAGGGCCAAACCCCACCCCACCTCAGACTTCCAATTTGCTTTTTCCATGGCTGGCTCAGACTTCCAATTTGCTGTTTCCCGGGCGAAGAAAAAGCACTTCAGTGCGCGTGTTGCACTCCTTCCACCCAAACACTTGTTTTGG